CACGTCACGGCGGTATGGTGTCAGTCAGTACTTGTTGCGTAGTGGCATGCCATTTTTAGCCGCAGGAACTGCACTGACTGTGCGCTGCGTACGCTGTGTGCGTTGCAAGTGCCTCTCCCACCCTCGTGGCCCTGGTCGCTCTTGTCCCTGTGTGGCATGGCATGGTCGAGGCCGGCCGCCATCCGGCCTAGTGTGGTGATAGTCGACGGTCGAGAATTGCTTGATTCATGATATCCAAGTGTCTGCCATGGCCATGAAAGAGACACCTTTTCGCCCGGTGCTTTCTCGTCTATCACTTGACCACGTTGAAGTGGAGGAGGCAGAGTGGTCCTCCGTCCATGGGAAATCCAGGAAAACTTCGAGCACAAGGCACGAGGCGGTACTTTACAGATGCAGTGCCAGTAACCTGCTGTGTTCTGATGTCCACGCCATACAAATGGTCAGGCCTGGAGATGTCTGGCGTAACGAGGGCTGCTGTGTGGTGTCTAGGTCTAGTCGGAATCCATGTCCGTATCCATAGCGCGAGCCACAGCGTGGGCAGGAGGCGGTTCCATCAATAGACCGAGAGACGGGTGATGCGGGAATCCCAGCAACGGCGCCGGGGGGGAGCAAAGAAGAACTGAGGTGGTTGGGATTCGTCTCGAGGCGTGATAGCCTCACAGAGATGAAGTGATGAAGGAGAAGAAGAGCCGTCGTCCATTTTCGGGGGGGGGGGGGGGCGGGGCTCGGTGGGGCAAGTGGGGCAGCAACACCACGGCAAGGGCAAGGGTTGGAGCTCTACGCGCCGAGCTGGGGTGTGATGGCGCCTACAGTTCTTGCAGCCAGGTGATTGAGGATCGCAAGTGCCTTTTCGATTCGATGCGGGTGCCTCACCACGGCAGGAGCTGACTGGTTGCTCGGTGCTAGCTTCCCGTCAACGGCCCACTCTCCAGAGCCCTGAGGTGCTGGATACTCTTGCTTTGACTGACTGAATTGGTTGGCTTGGTAGGAGCTCCCGAGAGCTTCATTCGAGGTACAAGCTACTCTGCATCTCCCCCTCTCCTACAGTAAGTACCTCGCACCTTGGACGACGACGACGACGGCGACGACAACCCTCCTACCACATCTCCTTGTTTCTCCTGACTCTGTGCTCCTCGTCACTCGGCAGCTGGTACATGGTACGTACCTATCAACATCCCAAGTGTGACAGTTCCCATCAACAATGCCAATGTGACGAGATGGGCCGGCCTGTCTCGAGCTCCAGTACATTGTCGTCCATGCTCTGGTAAGTAAACACACACTCACTCACTTCTCTGTGCTCTTCCGCCACCTTGCCTCGTGGCATGACGGCCTGAGCCACCCTCCATTGCGTCGCACCATTTCCACGGCCATGACAATCGCAATCATCACATTTCTCGCTACGACCGACTTGGCAATACGACCCTCAACAATCACAACCTTCACCATCCCCATCTCGCGCTGCCCTGCACCTCACCCTCCACCACCACCCCACATCGGCCACGCGGGGACCAGCTCGAACGACCCGCGGTCGCAGACACCACACACTCTCGGAGCCACACCCAAGATGCAGCCTCGCGCTTGTTGGGTCGTCAACAGTCCTTTTTCTTTGTTCGACTGGCGATGCATATGCGACCAAATTATGCCATGTACTGCACTCCCACCCGGACCCCACGCCTGCTGCATCAGATAAACTCATGTGTCGCGGGGGGCCGAATCCTCTTGACTGATGAGCCAACGGTAGTACTCGACATTGCCTGTGCAGCTGCAAGCCGACATGTATCTCGTGGCGCCGCAGCGCATATCCAGGTGGCATACTCTCTCTTCTCGCCTCTATTTCTCAGGTACCTTATCTGTTGATACCGCCGACACCACTGAACGACCCCTGAAAATTGGACCATGCGCCTGGGTACACACTATCCTCCAGGACCAGACTTCGCTGGCAGTGCAGGATATTGCACTCGGCGTGTAGCCTTCCCAGCCCGGCTTCCATTCGCATGACGAGCACCCAAATTACTGAGGCACGCAGTGTGGGAGCTCCCTTGGGGCCCGACTTTGACCACCATGCCGAGACGTCGTAGTCGGTCCCATGTCTTCGACACGACGAGTGACTCGTTCAATTGAGTTTGTGTTCGCTTTGTTCTACTGGCTTTGAACATCAGCCCAATACGCACCCTGGTAGCCACCCATGGTCAGATATCCTACTGACAGGATATCGAGCCATCTCCTGGTCAGTAAGCTAACCGTTCCATCTGCAAGCACTTTAGGAAACCCCGCCAGGTCTCAGCGCCAGCGCCGCGGCCACCACCATTTGCAAACCATCCTCAACCTATTGTGTCACGCTGTTATCACATAATTGATG